TCTGCCCCCCTCCGGCGCCGGGGTCTGCCCGTGGCCGACACGGCGCACATGGCGAGGGCTGACCTGTCCCGGCTTCCCTTCCAGCTGTGCAGCCCCCGGCGCCCACCGGGTCACCTCCGCCCCAGGGGGGGCTCCGGCTGGGCAAGCACTAGGTCCTGCAGCTGCCGGGAGCGCTCCCTCGGTGTGACCAAGCAGCCACCTGAAGAAGCCAATGACCTATTTAACAAACTTGTTTACAAGCCACATGAGCGGTTATCATTGCCTGACAGACTGCGCTGCTGCTTTTGGAGCTGTCTGAGAGAGGCTGAAGTGCCGAGCCTAACCGGTTCACCACGGCGGCACGGGCTGGCCTCCGGGCATGCCACAAGAGCACGCACGCCGACACTGGCGCACGCCCTTGGCCAGACACCAGAAGGAACTGGTCAGCGGACAGCGGACTTTGATAGCTCATGGCAAATTGCTGGCCTTCATCTTTTGGGTGCTGGGCTTGGGGAGGGGGCTGAAATTATGGTCCAAAATAGGTATTTATGCAACAATATTTATGGGAAGCCGTACAACAGTGTTGTCAGAACTGATGGCTGAATGTGCCCAGCTCTCCTGAGATCATGCCTCCGGTAGATGTATCACCTCACTTGGATTTTTTTTTTTTTTTAAATTTGAATTTACAATGGCATTTTACTGTAAATTATCATTTGCCATGGGGGCAAGACGCTGGGTTCTAGCGCCTACCACACCACCTCTGCAGAGCCAGCGCCCACGGCCTTACCCTCTCTGTCAGCACGCGTCAAGTGCTCCCGGTTTACACCTCCAGTGACAGGCAGCGGCTCCCTCACCGACAGCGCAGCCTGCTCTCGGCAAGCTTTGCCGGGGTCAGGAGCCGTTTTTTCGGACCAGGAGTACGTCAGCCCACTTGACTGCCTGTGTTGTTTGCTCCACCAAAAAGCAAGCCTAAATTAGGTGTAATAATCAGCGATACTGTGTGGATAGACACAAAGCTCTCGCATCGTCTGGTAAATGCAAATCCCTGTTTCAGTGTTCCCGCCCCAGCCCTGGACTCTGCGTTGTTTTTTCCATCCCAGCTGAACCCAGGAGCTGGGAAGGGGCTGGAGGCAGGAGGAACAGCCGGGAAGCAGTCGGCTTCGGGCTCGGCAGCGAGTGCAGAGCCACAGCAAAGCCTCGGCTGCCACCACCAGCAACGGGGAACGCCATCGCCCCAGCAAGGGCCAGGGCTCCCGGACCGACAGCCCTCCTGAGCCGGGCCCCTTCACCTCTTTGCACAAAGCTCTTGGGTAAACGGAGCCCGAGAGCCGACAACGTCAAAAGAACCCAGTCTCTACGAAGGAGATGGGACGTTCCCGTCCCAGCACATCTGCCTCTGCTGCTGCTGCAGTACAGCCCTGCCCCGGCGCTTGGCCTTTAAATTATTCCCACAGGGGCCAACTGAAAATAATAAAAAAGAATTGTTTCTTTTCCTGATAGAATTTATTTTAATCTGTATATAACTTGTAATTTTTTGCTAATTCTTTTCTTATTTTATTTCTTCCTTAACAGTATTTTTTGCATTAGATATCATTATTGTGAAGAAATAATGTTAATATAAGTATGTAGTGAAGGACCAAACTTGTGTAATTAAGGTTGTATGTTGTATGATTGATAACCAGGGAGTAGGAAGAGTTTGTCCGTGTGCCAAATGACCCTGATCAATCCTGCTAGCCTTGCTGCCGATTCTCCAGACAATCATATGTTTTGTTACATTTGCCTTTAAGTGACCGTTGCATTAGGCGAAGGTTTCTATTTATTCCCTTGGCCGGTTGGAAAGCAAACGCAGCCTCCCCCAGAAAGCGAGCGGCCCATCCCCACGGGTCCTTCCACCGAGCGCGCCGGCAGTCCCTGCCGCCCACCGGCACCAAGGTGCAGAGAAGCCCTTGGCCCCAAGGGCCCTGCTCCAGGAGTGCATGGAAACCTAGCCCTGCCTTAAGCACGGGGATGGATCGGTCCTGTCCCGTTACAGCGTGAAAGCCTGAGCCGTGGCTCTGTGGCTCCCGGCAGCTGCTTGGAGTCAACCGTACGTCTGAGCATGGGAATGCAGCAACTCTGTACCTATTTTTTTTATATCAAGTTTTTTTCCTGTTCATATTTCTTAATACAGTTTGTTTGCCTCCTGTTTTCATGCAGCTAGTGTCTCTCTTTTTGGATCCCATCTCCTCTAAGTTAGCACTGATGAAAAATTTTAATTCTTCCACAGTTAAGAGAAATAAACAGAAAGCCTGACTGAATTTCTGTTTATCTGATCTCTCTCAGTTGATTACACTTGAAATGCGCTGCACCTGACAGCAGGTTTTTAGTCACCCGCTCTGAAGGATTGTTCCCGAGATGTGCGTATGTCGAGAACAAGCAGAGGCCAGAAAGATGCTGCCAAGGTTCTTTTTAGAGCTTGGAAGGGGGAAGCCTGCTCCTTGGCGTCAATGCGACGCGGAGCTGTCCTGCTCGGGGACACCCGTCACCACCAACAGCTTAAACACGGGGACCGACCGGTGCTGCCGACGTTGCGCACAGTTCCAGGAGAACTTGCATTTCCTTGGGATCCATGAATTTATTGCTAATCCAATTAATCCTTTAACAGTTTAATCAAAACAGACACATTACAACACTGCTGCCCCTGTGAATGCACACCCAGACGGCACACGGGGCCGCCTCACCCCAAAATCCTTGCTGCCGTCTTGACCGGCTGAGAAGCGCGCAGCAGCCGGCAGATCCGCGCAGCCCCCGCTCCTGCCACTGCCCCAAAGGCCCTGTGGCATTAAACACTCGACTCATGAAAAGCCCAGATGCGAACTGCTCAGTACAACAAAAGAGCTACCCTGCCTCGGCCCTCGTCGGTAATCGCTTGTCGGTGCTAATTCTGGGGGAGAAGGGGAGGAGAGGGGACTGCTCTGCCTCGGGAAGGATGGGGTTTGAACCTCCATGACTACGTCCCTCTCCAGGGGCACTGAGCCTCCCTCTTCTGCCGGGGCACATCCACCTGCCCACCTCGGAGACGGGAAAGGCAGCCGGGAGCTGCAGCATTGCTCTTCTTCATGCTCCTGGCTTGCTCCTCCAGTAGGACTTGCAAATTGCTTCCCTCTGGCTGGAGCATCCCATTTCTGGCCCTAGCCCTGACTCCATGAGAACAACTCCGACTGCACCAGCCTCCAGCATCTGCTACTTTGGCAAGTGACGGAAAGGTGGTGGGCACCATCTCACCCTGCCGAGCTCACAGTTGTGTTCAAAAGAACCAATAATAATTGTGGGGAAAGAAAAAGAAAGAAAAGAAACAGGAGGGAAAAACTGGGTCAAGGAATAAGCCTAGCATACAGATTTAAGTTCTTAAAAATTCTCGGTTCAGGTATGCTCTCCCCATGCCCCAGTCTTCCCACGCAAGGTGCGCGGCCGCTGCCACCAGGCCATGGCCCAGACGGCAGCAGGAGCCACTTCACAGAGCCCAGAACACAGCTGCAGCCTCTTCAACTTGAGCCAACACTTTGGCTGCTTTTGAAGCCTGTTCCAGGTCATTAATACTGGCATTGGCCAGGAGCACTCGGATGCCAGCTCTCACATTAATTAGCTGCTGTCACGGCCGCTACAAAGACCGGTCCTGAACGATAAGATCTGCCGCCTGTGACAGCTCAAGACAAATGAAATTCAAGAAGAAAGGATCTCCCACTCCCTTCTTGCTATGGGCTCAGTCCGCAGAGGTTTGAAGACCCTTGAAATAAGTCACGACAGAGGCATCTTTCCGTGGCTGTAAGCCTACACATTGGTCTCTATCCGCAGCCGCTCCATCCGGCGGACGTTGCACTCCACTGCTGCGCGACTGGTGATCTGCCGAGCGCAGGACTGGGGGAACCAGCCCCTTTCACCATCCCTCAGCCTCTCACCCCAGCACCAGCCTAGGAGAAGAACAGAGCCGGTCACGCAAGGAGGACAGGCCGCGGCTCCTGGGGATGTGCGTGGAAGGAGAGGGCTGCACCGCTCCCCTTCCCACGGAGGTGCCAGCTAGAGGCGTGCAGGGAAAGCTTCGCAGGGGAGGAGGTTTCTGACGCCCTGCCTGTTCTGAGGTTGTTGCTCTCACTTCTGAGGTCTCTGCTGCTGGCTGCCAGCCGCAGCCTGCGCGCAGCATCACTCGTAAGTAACGCAGCACCCACCCGTGGCAGTGCCACCTCCATCAGCCACCGGGGACCCGCTGTCATCTGCTGGGCCACAGCACCAGCCAGCAACACGGACCCTGCCAGTGGCTAGGGCTTCCTGGAAGCTTCTGAAAATTGCTAAAATCACAGTTCACTGGGATCACTGAAGCCTTTCCCCCCACCATAGCTCTGCCTAAGGTAAGCCTTGCCCAGCCGCAGCTGCCCACTCGCTGCCGCTTACCATCCTCTCCACCCAACACCAGGACAACGTCAGCCTGCTGCAGGGAAATCTCGTCCGTCTGTTTAGCCAGGTATGCGTGGGTTATCTCCACTTGGCTCAGATCTGCAGAGGACAGCAGGGGCCCAGTGAGAAGGCACGGCTGGGAGCCGCAGCCCGGCACGCTCGGCCGTGCCACCCCAGTGCTGGGCAAGCTGCCCCAGCCCCGCCTGGCCGCCCACCGCTCCGGGGCTCCACAGCAAGTCGTGCTCTGCTGCCCTCCTGCCCCCACCCCTCCTCTCTCCTGCTGCCCCCTCCAAGCACACGGGAAGGGGAAGCCAAATCTCTTCTTCCAACAGCCTGAGGCATTCAGCATTCCTGGAATTTCACTGTGCCTCCTAAGAACTGTATTTAAAGTTTATTGTGTCTGATAACTTAATGGGAGGCAACTCCTAGCGAGCAAGGTGTGGTACCCTGAGCTCTCCTCTCCATCGACACACATCCTCAGCCCCTTCTCCAGCAGGAGCGGATAAGAACAGGGTAAAAACCCGTGCCTGCAAACGCTCAGGCTCTAGGCACAACCGCTAATCCCCGCACAGCCAGGCCTGACCTCCAGCATGCCAGTACCTCCTTTAGGAGTGGTGTCAGGCTTTTCCTTTTCTCTGTGCATCAGCGCAGCAATCCACCGGGCCCGGTCACTCCTGGCAGAGGGAAAGCCCGTATTACAAAGAAAGCCTTAGAGACAGCATCCATGTTGCCAGCAGTAGCTGGGAAATTCCCAGCACGAAAGATGAAGGCTTTCAAGGGAAGTCAGACTGAGCAAACATCACGTTCAGAGCATTCAACATACAGATACTTCACAAGCGGTATGCATCGCCCAGCCGCTTTGCTTAATTTGCACAGGGGAAGCATTATATGGGAATTATAAGGGAAATCTAAGAGAGAGAAGGAAACAGAGCAAGGGGACAAGCCCGCACAGATCCCCCTTTCTGGGAAGAGGTGTGGGGAGGGAAAGGGTGCTTCACAGAAGCCTCAGGGAAATTTCCAGGGCACCAGTTTATCCCACAAGCAAGAGCGTGCACCCTCTGAAATCCCACCGGGCCACTCACAGCGTCTCTGCCGACAGCACGATCTCCTCCCGCCTGCCCTCGCTGTCCTTCTCCATCACCACCCGGAGCAGGTGCCCGCCAGCCATGCCACGGGCCGTGCCACCACTCCCGGTCTTGCCAGGAGGAGGGGAAGGCGGGTCCGTGTTCTCGATCTTCTCCACCGTGATCTGGTCCAGCGTGGCGTAGTTCATCACAGTGTAGCTCTCCTCACTACAGCAAAGACAGGATCGGCACCTCGGCCACACGGAGCCGCAGCGTGGACGCCACCGGCGGGGACCAAGCTGCTTCCCGGACCAGCTCAGAGCCCCAGTGGGTGAAGCTCAGTGGGCACCACCCAGGCGACCGTCACGGCAAGGACATGAGCTGATGCCCAGGGGTGGGACACAGCTCTGCGGACCTGCCAGCCACCCACAAACAGAAGCAGGGCCAAGGGCTGTGGAGCCGGGCACTTCCCTTCTGGCTAACAGGGGACACTTCAGTAAAGGTCAAAACAGGGAAATCTCGAGAATTTCTTAGGCTACGTGCTGCTTGGGAAACTCAGATTTTAATCACAAGAAGAGGTAGCAGAGCCTGCCAGCGCCTCGGCGGAAGATGCCCGCCTCTTCCGACAGCAGCAGGTACAGCTCCCCCCGCTTCAGCAGCCAGCGGGAAGCGGAGATCAGCGGGAAAGGCTGGAATGGATCCAGGGAAAGTCTGACTTACTACCTGTCTCACAAGCGGCAGGCAAAACCAAGCTCAGAACCTGTGTTTGAACTCGCAGTCGACCCTGGGGTCCGTTGGAGACTTTCCAGGAGGCAGGCAGGGAGTGGAGCAGCCGTACACCCTGCTCCAGCTCGCCCGGAGACACAGCCCCCCGAGCCGCAGCAGTGGGGCACGATGTCAAGGCTTTACTACACCCCTTTAGAAAGCTGCCCGCATCTGACAGCGCTTACAGACAGCCGAAGCCCCATGTTCTGCCTGGAACAACACAGCAAGGGCAGACATCGCTGCCAGCTGATCCACCCAGGTAACACCTCCTCTTTCAGGGGCAAGCCCAGCTTCCACCGGATGAGGGTCGTGAGGGAGCATGGATTATCCAGGACTACTCTGCTGAACCCTCCAAGCTGGCAGGGCGAAGGCCCAGAAACTCATATTTAAGTCAGAACAGCAGGAAGAAATGGTCACCCCGGACACAACGCAGTGATGCTGCTCACAGCAGCAGCGATGCTCCAGCTGGTCAAGGCTTCCTGGAAGGATTCCCAGGACAGGCCCAACGCGCCTGGGATGGGCCACTCTAACAGCACACCCCAGAAGATATTTTTTCCACCACTGCCACGGTCCTCACCTTCTTCTTTCCAAATTCCAGCTGTTTCTGCAGGGTGTACATCTGCTCCGTCCTCTCCATAGCACGAGCTCCCTCATTGCAGTTCTTAACCAGCTAGAAAAGGAAACACCACCACAAGTGAAGCGGCCTAGATGGCAAGACGCTGAGCCCGTCTGTCCTCTGCACCAGCGCTGCCGGCGAAGGGTCAGGCAGCCGCCCCGCTTCCCTGGACAGGAGAAACAGCTGAGTCCCGACAGGCTCCAAGCCAGGGCTGGGGAAAGGCAGCTGGAGGTTCTCCTGCCACGAGAGATCTCCAGGAGAGAGATGGCACCTTTCCTTTGCCTGGAGAAGGACCAAAGTGAAACCACACCAAAACCGAGCTTCACCGAGGAGCAATACGAAGAGGAAGAATGAATCATCTGAAGGGAGGAGGTTAAGACAGGAGGACGAACGATCGAACAGTCAGAGGAGGACAGAACCCTTCCACAGGCCGCGTTTCATGCAGCCACGTGGCTCCCTGGCCCCTCGCGTTGCCTCTCCCGAGCAGACGCGCCTCTGCCAGCCGCCCCTCCAACCCGGGGAAGGACGGAGGGTCCTGCACTTTGTTGCCCCATGGGATGAGCGATCAGGACAGACCGCGAGTGGCTGGAGTGCGTTGCCAAGAGCCGGTCTTTAGGGGGACAAAAGGAAGAGCTGCCACCGCCGCTTTGGTGGCCATAATCTCCGTGGTGCATCGCCTTGTGTGAATGACAACCAGCTGGGCAGGCAGGGGAGGCGCGGGAGCAGGAAGAGCGCACGGCTCACGAGTGCCACTGCTGCCGCTGTTCCTTCGCTCCTCTGCCCTTTGCTCTTTGCTTTGTTTACTGCTCTTTGCCTAAATCTCCAAAAACTGAGGCAAGTAGGTGTCGCAGCTTGCTGTCACCTGGAGGGTGGTTCTGAGAAGGGAGAGCACTAATGGGGAAGATGACACCAAAGGGAAGGACAAAAGATGGGCCAAAGAGAAAAGAAGAAAAGATGACAAGAAAAAGGAAAAACCAAAATCAGGTGAAAAAAGGTGAGCAAGGGAGAAGATGTGTACATCCACCAGCTATTTAGGGCCGAGAAATCTCAAGTGAACCAACGTAAGTAGGAAAACCAGAGGCCAGAATGGCAGGCTCGGGGCCGGAGTGACGGAACGGTGCGCTGGGAGGAGGAAAGATGGAGAGCTGGCAGCCGGGCCTCACCTTGCTGATGGCTTTCAGAGCTCTGGTGGCAGCTCCATACGCTGCAGTGCATGCTTTTGTTTTTTGACAGACAGTCTAGAATGTCAAGATAAGACGCTTTAGTGATATCGCAGGACACAGAACTGTGCATCAACCTGGGATTTCAGGATGTGACACAGGCTCGAGACGTTCCCAATGGTCAGCCTGGCAGCGGGACAGGCAGACGGTCAAAGCAAGGTTTAACAGTGCTGGTAGCTGTCAATCTGCTTTCTGCTGGGGCTTTCACATCAGATACGTACCTGCCCATCACTGTCACCCCGCGCACCGGCATCCCCCTGGCTCTCACTCCCGCAGCCCCTTACGGACTGGGAGCAGTTACTAGAAACCCCACACCCAGCAGCTTTGCTCTTTAGAGCAGCTGGGTCCAGAAGTCCCGGATTTCAATGAGGCTTGTGCAAGACCTGCGGTCCCTTCCTGGGCCGCCTGACCATTAATGAAACAGGACGCTCGTGCCACCCCACCCTGGGTATCCAGACGCAGGACAGGGCATGGAGGAACCTCACGGCACTCAGGTAAGACGTGAAGCATTATTCACAAAGCTTTAAGCTGCACATCTGACACCCACAAGAAGCAGATCGCTCTGGATCTAAATCCTGAACAAAGGCTCGGGCATCCCAGCCTTGGCTCCCAGAGGGATGGAAGTCCAAGCAGAAGGCTGTCCCGGGCTTCGCAAACCGAAGAAGGGAACAACACAGTCACCTCTTCAGAGGTGCCACGCAATGCCACCGTGTGACTTACTTACATCTAACAGCAGAGGAAGCCGTGTTACCCTCTGCATAGGGAGAATGAGAAATGATATCATTGGCAGGCCTCCGCATTCTGGTCTCCTTTCAATTTGTTTCAAGCTCTCTTTAAATAAGGGGTTTGTGTTTCTGGAACAGGACAAGAAATCTCCATTAACTCTGTTCTTCAGTTATCAAGATTTTCTGGTAGCTTTCCGTGCACGAGACCCGCAGCGCAGCGACGGCGCTGCCTCTGGTGCTCAGCAGCAGTCTGCTGAGCTCAGGGCACACAGCTGGGGTGGAAAATGGCCTGATCCGTTAGCAGGTGATGGAAAAGCACCTAGAGATGTTGAGTCCACCAAAAGGCGGGTAAAGCCGTAGATGCACCAACAGCAGACACAAACTTGACCTGTACCACCAGTATGATCTGCAGACGACCAGCCTCCATAGATGTCCCTACCACACCCCATACGTGTTCTGACCTTGGCAAGACCCGTCTGACTTCAGTATGTGGTAGCATCACCCCCCGTTATCCCTGTCCTTCACCTTTCTCACAGCACAACACAAATCACGTCCTAATCACCCGACACAGGCACACTGAGGTCTAGAAGATGAACTCTGCTCAGAAAGGAGACAGCCTTCCTTAGGAAAAAAGGACTCAACCACGGGCTGAGGGAGCCACCTGCAAGTCGCGGTCCCGTCTGCAGCCAGCTAGCGTCCCTGTAGCCCAGAGGCCCCTTGTAAGCGACTCCCCTCCAAGCCCAAGGCCTGAGCCTTGTACTCACAGCAGCTTCTGAAGTGTCCTCTGCTGGTAGACTTCATTGGAGCAGTAGCTGACGTAAGGATTGAAGTGGTTCAAGGCGTGTTCCTCCACTATGTCACTGATGTCAGGAATTAGGACGTTTTCCTGGTGCCGCTTCTCTAAGTCTTCAAAGAATCTAAGGAGAGAATTTCAAATAACTTTACAGCATGACTCGTTAGGGCCAGATAAACCGAACAGATATGTGTTTAACAGTGTTCCCACTGCAACTTTTCCCCAGTTTTCCCAGAGGAGTCAAGGCCCTGGATCCCTTCTGCACGGGGTCAGCTCTGCGCAGCCGAGACGCCCACGTCCTCAGCGCGGCTCCCAGCTCCGCTGCAGAGATGGGGAGCGCAGCTCCCAAGCTCCCCGGCCCCCAGGTGTGTAGGCTTCCTCCATTCCCGCGTGCGATCCCTCCTCCGCTTTAGCTCTCCGGGAAGATTCGTTTCTGCCCCATCAGGGCCGCTTCTGCCCAGCTGCGGGAAGCTGCGAGCCCTCACCGCCCCCGCAGCAGTTCCCACGGCAGGGCTCGCCGGCCGCCCCGAGCACCGGCTCCCAAGGCGTTCGCTCCCCACCTCCCAGGGAGCAAAGGCCATGCTTACTCTGGCTTGCTGAAGGCGCAGTTTCATTTTTGGCACCCGAGCGATCCCCTGCCCATGCTCCGCAACAAGCAGCCGCTTGCTGCGGCTCAGCCGCCCGGTGCCCTGCCTCGCCGGTCCCTGCTGTTGGCCAGGCTGGAGCCGGGCAGCTGAGCCGCAGCGCTACCGGCTCCACCTGCCCCATCTCACCAGCCCAGAGGCAAAGGGAGGCACCACCGTCACGGCAGCACCAGGACACGCGAGGAGGAGTTTCCAGGCAAATGGGAGTGTCCCAGGTGCGGGGACGGGGGCTCAGCCAGCTTTCGGTGCCTGATTGCAGCCGCATGACCGAGCACCACCATTATAACCCATTAAAAAACTGGGTGTCAGAGTAACAGACAACCAGCTGTTCAGGTCCCGAGCACGTAACAGCGGGAAGCCGGTGCGGCACGGTCTGGGGTAAGTGCCGCGACATGAGGCACTAGGAAGAAGGGCAATGGGTGGGCTGTCTCAGTACCTTCAGCAAACCTAAGGGACAGTTGTTGTTACATGGCAAATAAACCGAGTTCCAGAGTCGCTGCTCCAGGCCTGCCTGGTCCCAGCCCCACGCCGGTGGCCCCCACTTGCCTCGCGCTGACCGCCAGGACGTCGCTGATGTTGGAGAAGAGGTGGTGGTGCTCCGTCTGAGTCATGGTCTCCTTCAGCTCCTCCGACCTCATGAAGTGGCACACCAGGACATTCAGGCTGTGCATGTAGGAGTACTCAGAAGTGATGATTTCAAACATTGCCTGAAAAAGCAGGGCAGTGAAGATGTAACAACGCAAACCGGATTATTACCGACTAAACAAGGCCAGGAATTAACACTTGCTACATCTTATTTACATTCGGTTGGCACGAAGGCAAGGGAAATGACTTCGCTCCAACAACGCGGTGTTCCCTCACCTCATGCATTGCCTGGCCTACACCAACTTCAGCATCTTTTAGGACTTGCATTCATTCACAAGCCACGGCCCTAAGATGTCTTCCCTTCCAGCACGCCTGCTTCCCCGCCACGGCGCGCGGGCGAGCCCTCCCAACGCCGCCCGGTGCCAGGGGTCCCGGCGCAGCCCCCCGGCAGGGGAAGCCCCGCTCCCCTCCTGCCGCTTGCGCTCCTCGGGGGACACCCTCTGCAGGAGGCCCGCCTCCAGCACCTGCGGGCGGAGGCGGGGATGAGCCGGCGCCGGGGCTGCGGAGCGGCGGTCCTTGCACGCCCTCTAGTGCGGGCCGGGGCTCTGCCCAGCCCCGCACAACCCGCCGGCCCCGCGCCAGCACCTCCCGCCGCAGCGTCCCCCATCGCCCGCAGCGTCCCCCCATCGCCCGCAGCGTCCCCCCATCGCCCGCAGCGTCCCCCCATCGCCCGCAGCGTCCCCCCATCGCCCGCAGCGTCCCCCCATCGCCCGCAGCGTCCCCCCATCGCCCGCAGCGTCCCCCCATCGCCCGCAGCGTCCCCCCATCGCCCGCAGCGTCCCCCCATCGCCCGCAGCGTCCCCCCATCGCCCGCAGCGTCCCCCCATCGCCCGCAGCGTCCCCCCATCGCCCGCAGCGTCCCCCCATCGCCCGCAGCGTCCCCCCATCGCCCGCAGCGTCCCCCCATCGCCCGCAGCGTCCCCCCATCGCCCGCAGCGTCCCCCCATCGCCCGCAGCGTCCCCCCATCGCCCGCAGCGTCCCCCCATCGCCCGCAGCGTCCCCCCATCGCCCGCAGCGTCCCCCCATCGCCCGCAGCGTCCCCCCATCGCCCGCAGCGTCCCCCCATCGCCCGCAGCGTCCCCCCATCGCCCGCAGCGTCCCCCCATCGCCCGCAGCGTCCCCCCATCGCCCGCAGCGTCCCCCCATCGCCCGCAGCGTCCCCCCATCGCCCGCAGCGTCCCCCCATCGCCCGCAGCGTCCCCCCATCGCCCGCAGCGTCCCCCCATCGCCCGCAGCGTCCCCCCATCGCCCGCAGCGTCCCCCCATCGCCCGCAGCATCTCCCGTGGCCGGTAGCCGACGCCGCGCCGCAGGAGGAGCTCCTTCCCCCCGAGGGCCAGCAGGGAAAACCCGGGTGCCCGGCAGGGGAACCTGCCTTCCCCCCGCCTGCGGGGGAACCCCTCCCGCGCACAGCCGCAGCAGCTCCGCCGGCAGCCCGGGGAGCCGGGACGGGGACCTGCGTCCCAGAGCATCCCATTGCAAAGACTAATAACGCTGCAGAATTATCCACTCGCAGTTTGCTCGGCGGCTCAGAGAGCTTTTAAAATACACGCAGTTGTGCTGCAACACGGCACGAGCGCGGGAGCAGCCCATGGCGAGGGCAAGAGGGGCTTTTTGGACCCTGCGGGCTGGGCTGCTGCTCCTACCTCCGGGAGCTGGCTCCAGGTCACCTGCGCCGGGCGATAGCTCCGCACCACAATAGCGGCATCCGGAGGGGATGGCTCTTCTGGGACGGATTCCTCCAGCAAATCCTCATCTGACTCATGGCTGACAGAGTTCAGACCTCTCTCACGGATTTCCTGATACAGCCGGGGCTCTGCAGAGGCAAAGGCACGAGGTCAGCGAAGCCTCTCCCAGCTGCGGCCCACGGCTTCCCTTCCCACCACTGCCTCACCCCGTCGGCCACGAGCCCTGCCACGAGCCGGGGCCAGCGCCTCCCCACCAAGGTCGGACTTTGCACAGCACCAATTAACCAGCAGCTCCTGCTCCCGACAGCTTCCCGCAGCCAGCGCGCCGCTCCCCCGTGTTTGCCCGGAGCAAGCAAAGCTGGGAGCGCTCCAGCTGCGAGCGCGGCAGCAGCCTGAGCCTCATCACGCCCCAGGGAGTGGGGAAGCAGGGCTGCAATGCTCCTCTTGCAGGTGGGGAAACGGTGGCAAAAGCAATTCCCCCAGGCCAGAGACAAGCAGCAGCACGCGTGGCAAAGGGACTTCTAGGGATTTGCTGCGCTGAGCAGCGCCCCGGTGCCCTGCGAGGCAGAGGGGACGCTGGAGCCGTGCTCGCGGGAGGACGGGAGGCACTCACGGTCCTTGAACGAGCCGCCACGCTTCTGCACCCGCCTCCGCCCAAAGGTTCTCTGCAAGAGGAAGAAGAGGAGAGCACGCTGCAGTTACTGTATTTCTGTGGCCCTGGGAAGCATCTAGCTCCTGCAGGAAAGGGGAGAAGTTACCTGCGCGGCCAGTCAGCAAATACCACCCTGTTCTTTCAGCCTGGTTTTTGTCTGAGCTTTTGTTTGCCTTACCGAAGTGACTCAGCTTTCACCTTGCGTTATCGGGGTCACGATCTAAACCATTCTGTGGTTACCCCGCTGCCTTTCACATCTATCTGTCTCACACCTGGACTTTGCCTGCACTGGAGTCTCCTTTTCCCCAGTCCTGCTTCACCCATGTTTGTGTACACCCAGCCGCCATCTCGGAGCCACACACCCGGCCAGCCCCACCCTGCAAACATGCCCGCAGCTGCCTGTCGACAAACGGGAGCCCCAGAGCAGCCAGCTGCACGCCCCACGAAAGCCGTGTCAGCCATTTCCGTGCTCTCGGGACCTACAGCATCTGCTGGTGACATGCAGGCCTCCCAGGGCACAAGTCACGCCAGCAGGCTCAGCAAGCCCTGCCAGCTCCGCGCTGGGCTCACGCCGCTCTGTAACTGACAGGAGTTGCAGGAAAAAGGCTCTGCAGATCCCCCGGCAGCAGCTCATCACCAGGGAAAGTGGGGGCTCGATCCCTGCCCAAGAGCAATCTGGTGGCAGCAGGTGCAAAACCCACCTTGTTCCTGCCGGGGCTGCGGGCAGGCAGGGCGCTGCCCTCCTCCGGCGTGGGTTTCAGCAAGGGGACGGCGCTCACCGGCTCCGGCTCCGCACCCAGGCCCTTCATGGCCGCGCGGTAGGACATGTTCCTGAGGTTGCGCTTGAGGGTCGCCCCACTGTCATCCTCCACCTCCGCCTCCGCCTCCAGTGAGAGGCTGGGGACGGACGCCCGCTTCGGGTCGGGGCCCAGGGGCTCCCGGCTCGACCCAGCTGCCCCCAGGCTCTGGTGCCGGGAGGGGTTGTTCTTGGTCTTGGTGGAGACAGCCAGGCTTTTGGGGATCAGCTGCTGGGTTCCCACCTTCAGCGCGGCCGGGCTGTCCGTGCTGAGGACGATGCGGCGAGGCTCGGCCGAGGTGGGAGAGCCCACTGCCGAGAGCGAGGTGGCATCGGGCGCCGTGGTGGAGCTGCGCTTCTCGGGGTAGGAGGTCGGGCTGGAGGGCTCCGGCCGCACGGGGTGGCATCGGTACTCCAGGAGAAAGGTCCTGTCATCCACAGAGGTGCCAGGGGGACTCTGAGACATTTCGGTGGCACAGGGAACCAGAAAGCTGCATGAGAGACAGGCAGACAGACAGATGGAATGACTTTTCCCAGTAAGGCAGAGGGCTTGGCTTGCGGCCAGCGCACTTGGCTGCGGCCAGCGCACCATTTTGCACGGGGAACCTCGGGGCAGCACAGAACCCAGCCTCTGCTCTCCCGGGCGCTGTCTGCAGGCAGAGCCCACACAGGCGCGCTCGTGATGCTCCCACTGCCCACGCACCTCTCGGGGCCACCTGGTGTGCAGGGGCCGGGCTGGCGGCTCCTGAAGCCCGTGTCTGGCTTCAGGCAGAGAGCGCAGGATGCGGCCAGGCGCCAGGGAGCAGCCAGGCCACACAGCCGGCACCAGGCAGGCTCGCACCCGAGCGAGCAGCCGGGGCAGGGCTGCAGCACCCCGAGCACCCGCTTCCCCTCTGCCGCACTTCCCTGTCGAGGGGTGCCGCCAGCCTGAGCCACCAGGGCCAGCCTTTCCCTTCCTGGCTTCCACCTCCCCAGGGCTGCCGGGCTGTGAAAACCCCGGCGGGCGCCCCAACGCAAGCCCTGTGCTCCTCAAAGCTTGTACCTGTCCCAAACCGCCCCGAGGAGCGGCTCCACATCGCGTGCAAGAACACCTGCCCGAGTCCCTAAAGCTCCCCGGTCAGGGTTACGCTTACTCATCCCCTCCTGTGCCACAGCACGTACCCTGCCCCTACGGAACAAACACCCGACAGAGCATTTTACGCCCACTGCCTACCCTGTTACATAATTTGAGGAAAAACTACAGTTTAATTTCCCTCAGCTGAGATCTCATTGTATGCCATCACCGTCTCTCAGCTGTTCCTTTCCAAAGGCCACGGACCAGGAAACAGCAACCAAGGCTTCAACTTAATTCCCTGCCGCAGCGACTGGCGGAAGCACAAATCAGACCCATCAACACAAGCTCATTTGATCAAGATGCTGCTTATTTTCCCGTCTTCGGATGAGGGGCACACGCCTCTCGGCCACGGTCTGCCGAACGTCCTGCGGATGAGAAAAGCACTACGTTCTGCTCCTAACCCGGTCCTGGCTGAGGATGGAGCCTGCCCGAAGCACCAGCCCCAACGGCACCAACCAGGCACGCCCCGTTTCAGAGGCACTGGGTGCTACCGCACCCCCAGGTCTCCGGCGCCACTGGAGGAGGCCCGCGCCGCTACGCGGGGCCCGGGGCCCGCACCGCC